AGTAAACGAATGAAAAGAACTTATTTCAAAGTGATTTATTTAATGCTTGGTGTTTTGCCTGCATGTATGCTTGTGTGCCATGTACATACAGTGTGTGAGGAGGTCAAAGTGAGTATCGGATCCCCCCTGGTGCAACAGTTACAGATGGCTGTAAGCCACCATGTGGGCACTGGGAACTGATTTGCTACGGGTATGCTGTATACCGCATGAATGTCTGGTACCTTCCACAGTCAGAAGGCAGCACTGGAACCCCTGGAACTGGAGTTACGGATGATGGTGAGCCATTGTGTGGATGCTGGGAACTGAACCGAGGTCCTCTGGAAGAACAGCCAGTGCTCTTAACTGCTAAGTCTCCTCTCCAGCCCCAAGAAAAATATTTTTAAAGAAGGAAAGGAAAACTTTCCTATTAATAAGTACAGATCTATCTTAAATCTTTTTAAAGACTAGGTCAACAACGGCCATGGCCATGGAGTAGTCAGGTGTGACATGGGCTGACCTAACAGTCAGAAGGTCACTGCTTCAAGGAAGCAATAGAGTAAAAGCCATGCTGCCAAGAAACTAGGAAAACATGAGTGAGGAGTAAGTCTAGCAGCTGAAGGCTGGTGGTTAAGAATACACCAACTGGCTCACAACCTACAACTCCAGCTCCAGGGGATTGACACCTCTGACCTCCACAGGCACCTGCACTCACGGGCACATACACATGCAGATATACACGCCTCCACATAATCAAAAATAAATCTTTTTTTTTTTTAACGTCCAGGCTTGATGGTGCGTGCCATTCACAGCAGCACTTGGGAGGAGAAAGCAGGAGGCCAGCCTGGGCTACAGAGCAAGATCCCATATCAAAATCAAACAAGATAAGGGCCGGGGCTGTACCTCTTTGTCTGTATGCACAAGGTTCAGAGTTCAATCTTCAACACCCTACAAAATGGGTGTGGTGGAACACACCTGTAATTCTAGCACTTGGGAGGTAGAGGCATGAGGATCAGTTCTAGGTCATTATCGGTCACACAGTGGGTTACAGGTCATCCTAGGCTACACGAGACCATCTCTATAACCCCCCATCACCTGCAGAAAAAGGAGACTAAATTTAGCCTGAGCTACAGTGTGAGACCCCATTTCAATAAATGAACAAAACTACAACAGATATGACACTGGGCTAGAAAGCTTTTTTCCAAGCCAAGAAACTTAACCACATTTACAAACCAGGAGGAAGATCGCAAAGGAAGCAGTAGAGAGGTTCGAGATGCTGTAGAGGAAGGAAATGAGTGATGTGCAGTGGTACTTCGGGAGACACAAAGGGTCAGTATCCACAGTACGGAGTACAAGGACATTCCTTACTAGAACTCCAGAGAAGTATGAGGGCGGTGGTGGCGCACGCCTTTAATCCCAACACTGGGGAGACAGAGGCAAGTGGATCTCTGTGAGTTCAAGGCCAGCCTGGTCTACAGAGTGAGTTCCAGGACAGCCAGAGCTACACAGAGAAACCCTGTCTTGAAAAATTCAAAAGATAGAGACAAAGAGGAAGGTGGAGAAAGAAGGAAGGAAGGGAAGGAGGGAAGGAAGGAAGGGATGAAAAGATGATGCAGATGTTAAGAACAATGCTGCTCTTCCAAAGGACCAGCACCCACAGGGCAGCTCACAACCACCTCTAAATCCAGTTTAGAAGATTTAAGACCCTCTTCCGGCCTCCTAAGGCACCAGGCATGTAAGTGGCACACAGATACATATGTAGACAAAATACTCATATACACAAATAAAATTTAAAAATTTCAAAGCTCTTATTCTAAAAAAAGAACACATGGACAGGGAGAGGGGCAGGAACACAGGTATGGCTCTGGCTCTCTAGGCACACCCCGGTCACCCTCTACCTGAAAAAAGGACTTTGAGACAACAATCAGGTTGGAATATTCCTCCCATGGCACAGAATGCAGAGCAGATGAGAACGAGGGAAGAGTTTCTAGGCTTTTTAGGTGACACAGAGTGACAACTAAGATAGGCTACGCTGCTGGAAGCAGTCAGACTGCCCTGGTCTGATGGTGTCTCCAGCAGTTTTCCTCATCCTGGGTGCAGAATCCAAACTGAGGTCTTCTGGGCAGGGCACGCAGACAAAACAGCCCAGTGATGGAGGGAATGGAGCCTGAGGACACAGAGCAGCACTGCTCATGCAATAGAGACGTTAGAAGACAGTAGGTCCCCTCTCTAGCCCTGACACCCACAGCAGGTAAGTCCCTGAGGTTGGGGAAGAAGTCAAAACTGCGCAAGTAACCCTATGCCAATGATAACAAGACTGAAGGAGGCGGAAGGAGGCACTACCTTCCCCAAACAGAATGGGATATGGAATGAGAGTCTGCTTCCACAATGAAGTCCTCCAGAAAAAAAAATGTGGAAAAACAAGCAGGAAGAGGAGGTTAAAAACTAAGTTATAGGAGCTCCCCTATTTCTGGCTCCAGCCTGACCCTTTTCACAGACCCCAAAGGAAGAGGAGGTTAAAAACTAAGTTATAGGAGCTCCCCTATTTCTGGCTCCAGCCTGACCCTTTTCACAGACCCCAAGTTGCTTCTCAAAGGTGAGCTCAGTGACAGAGAAGTCAAAAAGTCACATGGAAATGGCCCAAGGCAGAAGTCTGGTTTGCTGCTGAAGGTAAAGGCAGAGGTAATTTAGGGCCCAGAAGGGTTGCAGGAGGCTGAAATCACAGAAATGGAAGTCTACAGGGTTCTTTGTGCTTATGACAAGGCTACCTTCTTCTTGGGGGAATGGGTGGTATAGGAGATGGAAGAAATGGCTGGCTTTTGTAACCAAAGTTCTTACGTGGAGAAGCAGCAGCAGTGTGTTCCCCTTTGCAATTGGGACCATGTTAACGTTGCTCCTGAAAAATACAGGCTTAATAAAACATCTTACTATCAAATAAGATACCATATATAATCTGAAATTTTTTGTTTTTTTTTTTTAGCTTGTTTTGCTGGCTGGTCCGAAACTCACTATTAGGTCGAACTGGCCTTGAAATTCCAGCAATCCTACTTCAGCCTTCCAGCTGCTGAGATTACAGGTCCATACCATTACACCTGACTCAAATAACCTGGACTGTAGCTTATTCAAATCCTTACTGTGACTGGTTCTGCAGCAGGATAGATAGAAGGAAGTCAAACCTGGCTTCAGGTCCAGCCAGGGGCCTGAGATTACCTATTTCCAAGCCCTCTCAGCTTGCCAGCAAGAGTCCCTCATCTTCTGGCACAAAAACAGTCATTCTTCTACTCGACCACAGCCTACTGGCTAGGATGGAAGTTTCTCCTTCCTGGTCTGCCTCTACCCGAGCATCCTTATCTGTAGTCTATCTAATCCATCTGTAGTCCCAAAGCCCCAAAACTGTGAATCACCCTCAGCAAACAGCACTCTCCTGGCCGCACTGCCATGCTGATGATGATGCTGAAGTAGCCTCCTACAGATCCCTCACCTGGCACTGGAAGCCTTATGCTAATCAGCTACAAATACCCCCTCCTGATACACTGTTTCTCTACCACAGGCTGACCAGTTTCTATACACCCAACTTTACGCAGATTATCATGTCTAGCCACCTCTGTGGCTTCTCACACCTCCTCCGTGAAGCCTTCCTAGACATGCCTGCTCCGCAGCCCATTGCATAAGTTCTAAAGCAGTCACTGGATGCTTAGCTCACTCATCCAGTCTCTTCTTTATGCCTCACAGATGGAGGCTGTTTCTGATACAGCCTTGCTCTGTCGCCCAGGCTGACCTTAAATTCCCAGCAATCCTCCTGCCTCAGCCACCCAACTGCTGGGATTACAGGCATGTGCCATCGCCATCCTACGGAGTTCCATACAATCTGGAGGTTGAACCCAGATGGTAATTTGTTCCACCCCTTAGTATGAAGTTAGTGGAAACAGGTCCTGCAGCAGGGAAGATCAGGTCCATGGTGGAGTGAAGGTTTCAGATCAGGCACAGTCAACCCATATTTAGTACTCAAGACTTGGATGCCCTCCCAAAGTATAAGAGTGGGAGGATGAATGCCTTCCCCTAAACAGGCTAAGGCCAGCACTTCTGTTAACCCAGGCACATCACACTTCCTTCAGGAAACTGTCAGACTCAAGACTAACAGCAAGGCAGGAAGTGTAGCATGGAGAGGAAGTCTGGTGGGGAAGCAGCCAGATAGGCAGAGAGACGAAGGAAAAGGAGGTTCTTCTAAAACACACACACACACACACACACACACACACACACACACACACACACCATCTCCTCAAGAGAGGTCACTACTTAGTCCATTTTGTCCCTAGAGTAAGTGTTAGCAGAAAGATACAGAGAGGAGAATCAAATTGTTCAGCAGTGACCATTCTGAGAGGGGGCTACAGAAACAGCTACACTGGGGCTGGAGTGATGGCTCAGCTGTTAAGATCACTGGCTGCTCTTCCAGAGGACCCAAGTTCGATTTCCAGTACCCACAAGGCAGCTCACATCACAACTGTCCATAACTCTAGTCCCAGGAGATCCAAAGCTGTCTTCTGAAGACATCTCACACACACACACACACACACACACACACACACACACACACGCACGCACGTACACACACAGTGCACATACATGCAGGCAAAACACCCATGTATAAAATAAATACAATTTTTAAAAAACTTAAAAGAAAAAGAGTCACAAAGCCCAGGACTCCCAATACAGAGTTCCCCTCCACTAACACTCCATTTTCTGTGGCCCATTCAGCAATAGAGAGTTGGCTCCCAAATTCCCACACAGAACCTAAACTAGCAAAACCAAGCAAAATCTCTCTGCAAAATGTGCCCCTGCCAGAATCATCTCTCTTTCAAAGTCCTGATGCAGAAGACATATAATAGGTAAAGCACGGGTTGCAAATTTCTCTAGACCACCCCTCCCCCAGACACACCACAGACAGGCTGGGTGGAGCACCTGTGCTTGGTTCCCACCTCCGGACTTTGCCCATACCACCTCCCCAAGATGCCCTCTCTTGCCTCTGCCTCCGTCCAAACCCCACCTCCAGGCAGTATCCTACTGACAGCTCCTGGTTCTCCTCTTGTCTCCTGCCCAGGCCTTTGCTGATCTCCTCAAGCGGAAACATCACAGGTTTAAGAGCCTTCACAGCCAATTTTCAGTCCTAGCCTTACTTGACTCCCCCGGCCTCCAGATCAGAAGAACCCCAAAGCAAGGACAGAGATTGCTTCCTTCACTTCTCCCCTCCTTCCTCGTGACCGACTGATGACAACGTTTGGATGCACTACATTCAGCAACCTATCCCACTACCCAAAGCTCGGACAGTATCTGGGCCTTAGCCAGTGCACCCATCCCCCCCTCCGAAAATCAGGCTGCTCAGACCCGCGGTACAAAGGTCGGCCGCCCAGGGGTGAGTACAACTTGGTTCCACCTGCAGGCGCCTTTGGTGACACCACGATCACCAGATTCCAGTCGCCCCCCCATCCCTAGCTGCATGCGCCATCCCAAAAGGAGGAGACCGGTTTCCAGGGAATACCAGGTGGGACTGGGGGGTTGTGGTGTGGAGGGCCCAGGCTCAGACTCCAGCATCCAAGGTCTGACGTCACCCAAATCCCGGGCTCCCTATGCGGGGACAGAGGATGAGGAAACAGGGGCTGGGGAGGAAGGTTTAGGAGTGCCCAGGGAGCTCTTCACCTCCCCGAACAGGGAAGGTCACCTCGACCCCCCCACTTCTCCAGCACCTCGGCCTGCCTACTCAAAAGCAAAGGGACGCTTTAAAGGCAGAAAACTGGAGCCGCGGACGCTTCTCCAGCCCAGATTGCAGTTTCCCTGCAGAACCCTCCTTGGGTCTCCAGACCCAGGACTCACCAGCCCGGATCGCTCAGCTGCAGGAAGGAAGTCACGTTGCACCGCGCTGAGATGCTGTGCACCCGGCGAAGAGGCGCGGAGCCGGCGCGGCTCCCGGATTGGGGACGGGGAGCGTGCGCGCGCGTCCGAGGCGGGCCCTGCGCGCTCCCGCGCCGCTGTGCCTGCTGCAACCACTCTCGCGAGATTCCTACTCAGCTCCTAGGGCCAGTCCACTAGTGCTCGCGAGAAGAAAGACGCAGGCGTTGCCCCCGCCCCACCGCCCGCCCACCTCACCTTGCAGGAGCTGTCCAAGGTGCTAGATCATCTGCCACTTCTCGTTCAGGTTGTAGGTGGGCATCTTGGGGGACAAGAGCATAGTGAGTGCATAAAAAGGAGAGACCCAGAGGCGGGAGCCTGATACCAGCAATCAATGCCTCAGCTTCCAAATCTGTAAAGTGGGGAGAATCACCCTCCTTCCAATCTCAGGAGCCTCTGGGATGTACTTGGAAGGAGTAAGAAACAGCTTGATGAAGGGCTGAAGAGATGGTTCAGTGGTTTAAATGTCCTTGTGCTTTTGTGAAGAATTAGAGTTCTATTCCAAGCACCTATAGGGCGATTCCAAAACCCCAGTTCCAGGGGATCCAACAAGAATGCACGTGGTGCACACACATGGATGCAAGTAAAACATTCATACACATAAAATGTAATAAATATTTTTAAAAGAACCAGATAGCTTGATGAAATAAGAAATAGAGATAGGTGGTGTATACCTTTAATCCCAGCACTTGAGAGCCAGAGACAGGCCGACCCCTGTGAGTTTGAGGGAAGCATCATCAACATAGTGAGTTCCAGGATGTTTGGAGCTACATCGTAAGACCTTGTCTCAAAAGAAAAAGGGGGGGGGCAACAAGTATAGAAAGTTACCTAAAGAAATAGAAAGAAAGCAGGTGTGTTGATTCCCACCTACAATCCTAGCCTTTGCAAGACACAGGCAATGCAATCAATGAAGTTTAGAGTCAGTTTTACCTACACAGCAAGTTGCAGGCTACCGGGATACACAGTGAGATACTGTCTCAAAATAGATAAAATAATAGGAATAGAAAGATAGGGAATGGCTTTGAAGAAAGACTGAAAAAAAGAAAGATGATGGTAATATACAGATGTGAACAGCAAGAATGAGAAAAGACCAAGGTAAATGCTTAGGAGAGCAGGACTTGTGTGGCTAGGAGACTACTTGGAGACGGGGAGCTGGGAGTAGGAAGACAGGCGGTTATTGTGAGTGGTGTTTACATAGTAAACCCCTGTGGGTCCTCCACAGCCAAGGCCATTCCCCGTCAACCAATTGCTTCTGCCCCTCACCCACACCACCCTGGGACTGGAAGAGGCGTCAGTGGGGTGGGTGGAGGGGACACACTGCAAGGATTCTTTGCCCAGAATAAGGGCCCATTGTCTGGCTCTGGGCTGCCAGAGCCGGGGCCTCACTCCCACAGCTGGCATGAAAGGGGAGGGAGAAAAAGAAGAGCAGACAAGAGCAAGTGCAGAAGAGACAGATGGCTGATGGGGACTGAGCAGGAAGAATATGAGGTCAACCAGAAGGCAGAGTCCTGGGCTACAACTGGTTTCTCTTTTAGTTCTGTCCTCAGTCCACCCACATGGCCCCTTATTCTGTATAGCCCAAAGAATGTTCTATGATAGCCACGCCCGTGTGTGTGTGTGTGTGTGTGTGTGTGTGTGTGTGTGTGTGTTGTGTCTGCATTGCATCATATACATGCAGTAGCTGTAGAAGTCAGAAGAGGATGTGGGATCCCCTGGGACTGGAGATGGTTGTGATCTGACACTAGGGTGCTAGGAATTTGACCCTGGACCTCTGGAAGAGCAGCCAGTGCTCTTAACCACAGAGCCATCTCTCCAGTCCCTGTACTTTCAGTTCCAAATGAGTGAGTATATTAAGCAGGTAGCAAGCAAAAGTAAAAGAAGAAATGGCAAGCTTCAGAAGATAGGGAGTAAAACATCATGAGATCAGACGATGACAATATCTAGCAGAGACCTAGGGGAAAATGGCCATGCTACAGCTTGCCGCACTGACAGTGTTTCCATCAAAGAGCTTCTGACTTCCTGGTCACATTGTAGGCAGATTTGAACCACTGGACAAACAATGGTAAGGTACATGGGGAAGGCTTACCTTCCAGCTGTTCTCGGGATCACAATGTTTTAACTCTTGGACTGTTTTACTCTTCTCTCTCCCTGTCACAGAAGCAGGGGCCAGCCTGACCCAGATGAGAGTCTTTGGAAGACACTTTATATAATAATGCTTGGGTCAGAAATGCTGCAGGGGTGTCTACCTGCTTCCAGTTCCTCAATAAAGTTTAACAGCACATGACAGTGTATCAGTATGCTATATATTACATTGCTGCTGTTTATCTCTGTAATACAGCAAGTTTATGCAGGTTTTCAAAGCCATGGGGAAAACCAATGAACTTGTGATAAAAGGGAACCTGTAGAGATGATAAAACACTGCTCCCTCAGGAGAAATACCTAGAATCCACATGGAATTTGTAAGCAATAACTTGTGGCTCATGTGGGCCCTACAGAAAAAATGTTGGTGTTCAAATATAATAACTACACTAATAAATATTTATTAACTATGCAAAGATGTGTTGCATTTGTTAATTATGTAAAGATGTGTTACATTTGTTTCATTATGTAAAGATGTGTTGCTGTTTGACCTTTCTGCCTGATCTAATAAAAAGCTGAATGACCAATAGTGAGGCAGGGGGTATAGGTAGGACTTCTAACCAATGAGAACAAGTAGGAGGAGAAACTTAGGTAAAGGAAGAAAGAAAAAGAGACACCAGGGGCCATCCAGCTGGACGTGGAGGAAGAAAAAAATAAGACATACAGAATTTAAAAAAGGTATTTTTGTTGTGAGCCTAGCCTTTAATGGCTGAGCCATCTAGGTGGTGATGCATGCCTTTGATCCCAGCACTCAGGAGGCAGAGACTGGTGGATCTCTGTGAGTTCAAGGCCAGCCTGGTCTATAGAGCGAGTTCCAGGACAGCCTCCAAAGCTACAGAGAAACCCTGTCTGAAAAAAACAAAAACAAAGGTAAAAAACCCCAAAGCAAAATGTAGATGAATAGAAACAGATTCAATTAAGTTAAAATAGCTAATGGGACAAGCCTAAGCAAAGGCCAAGCACTCATAATTAATAATAAATCTCTATGTCTTTATTTGGGAGCTGATTGCTAGCCCAAAGAAAATTCCAACTACATAAATAATTTTCCTGACCTATAGAGACAGATCAGTGATTAAGAACACTGGCTGTCAGCTGGGCGGTGGTGATGCATGCCTTTAATCCCAGAACCCGGGAGGCAGAGGCAGGTGAATCACTGTGAGTTCGAGGTCAGCCTCGTCTACCGAGCGAGTTCCAGGACAGCCTCCAAAACAATACAGAGAAACCCTGTCTTGAAAAAAACCAAAAAAATAAATAACTCCCCCTAATCCTGCAATGGAGACTCTTATCAGTTTAGAAAAAGTGAGGGCAGATTGGGATGGAAACATAACCAATCAGGTTGGGGTCGGGCAGAGGGGAGAATTCTGAAAGGAACTGTTGGAAAGGGAGGCATTTCAGGGCCAGGTAAAAATCTGACACAAGGGAATCTCCCAGGAATCTAAAAGAATGACCCCAGCTAAGACTCCTAGCAATAACAGATACATAGCCTATACTAACCATCTCCTGTGATCAGATTGGTGCTTAGTCTAATTGTCTTCACAGAGGCTTCATCTAGCAACTGAAGGAAACAGATGTAGACCCACAGCCAAACATTAGGCAGAGTTCTGGGAATCCTGCAGAAAAAAGGGTGGAGGAAGGATTGTAGGAGCACACCACAGAATCAACTAACCTGGGCTCATAAGGGCTCACAGGAACTGAACCAACAATTAGGGATCCTGCATGGGACTGACCTAGGCCCTCTACATGTATGTGACAGTTGTGTAGCTTGGTCTCCTTGTGAAACTCCTAACAGTGGGAATAGAGGCTGCCTCTGACTCTTTTACTGGCTTTTGGGTTGCCTTGCCCATCCTTAATATATGGAGAGGTGCTTAGTTTTACTGCAATTTGATATGCCATGTTTTGTTGGTACTCACAGGAGGCCTGCCCTTTCCTAAACAGAAACAGAGGGGAAGTGGACTGGGGTGATGGGAACAGAGACTTGGGGGGAGGGACTGGGAGGAGAGTAGGAAGGGGAAACTGCAGTGCGTGTAGAATAAATAAATAAGCAAATTTACTAAAGTAAAAAAGAGAGAGAAAATAAAAGAGGAAGAATGACCAAGCCCAAATTCAGAAAACAAGATAAAATAAAAACAAAGTCAGAAAATTGTACCCTCTGCACTTATGTGAACAGAGGGGGGAAATGGTGTAGTGATGACAATCACTTAAACAAACACTTATCTGCAATGTGAAATATAACCACAGGGTCACACTTCAGGGTTTTGTGAACATAAAATGAATTAGCACACTGTCTCAGTTCCTTTGCTTGTTGCTGTGATAAAATACCATTCAAGGACAAGAGGGATGGACCAGTCAGTAAAGAACCTTGCCACCAACCCTGAGGACCTGAATTCAATGCCCAGAATCCATGGAGTGGAGGGAGATGACTGCCTCCCAAAAGTGGCAGCACGTGCATGTGCGCACACACAAATAAATAAATGTTTTAAATATGTATTCTGAGAAGGGCTAGAGCAATGGCTCAGTGATTAAGAACACTGGCTGCTTTTCCAGAGGACCCAGATTCAATTCCAGCATCCATATGGTGGCTCACAACCATCTGTAACTCCAGTTCCAAGAGATCTGATGCCCTCTTCTGGACTCAGGGGGTGGTAGGCAAGTATGTGGTACACAGACATACATGCAGGCAACACACACACACACACACACACACACACGCGAGAGAGAGAGAGAGAGAGAGAGAGAGAGAGAGAGAGAGAGAGAGAGAGAGAGAGAACTGGACCACAGTTCAAGGGTACCTTCCATTATGGCAGGGAAGTCAAGATAATAGGGCTTGGAGCGGCTGCTCACTCATGAGCACAGCCTGAGACCGCTCCCCTACAGAGATCTCCTGGACCCTCAGAGATCAGGTACCTAGCCTCCTCTTCATTGGCTGCATATAATAAATATGCTAGATTTCTAGGCAATTGTTGGTGTGTCTCCAACAGAATGCACAGCCTACTAATCCCAGCTTCTCTGTATGGGTGTCTGTCATTTCTTCATTCCCCAGTTAGGTCAGTCTTTAAGCTGTGCAGGTCATGACACATGTAAATAAAAATAACTAAAATAAATATTTTTAAAAGAAAGTAATTCCCCACAGGCATGCCCAGAAGATCATTTCCTGGAGAATTCTTGGTTCTGTCAACATGACATTAACACTAACCATTACACACATGTAGACATATGTTACATGTGAGACAATGTCTGATACATAATATTCAATATTTAACTCCTACCGTGTACCAGCAGTGGGGATGTGTGTTTTGTATGGGCAGAGTGGGATAGCCTGAGCCAAACCAGGTAATCACATTAACACTTCAAGCTTGAGGGACGCCACACCTGCTCCCATACCTTTACTCAAAGGGTGTCATAAAGTTAAACCCCAAATAGGTCCAGATAGGAATGCTTTCCGTACAGGATGATGAGGAAAGTCACACGACAAATGGTGATGTTCAATCCCATTATAGGAAGATATAAATAAACGGGGGCAGTAATCTAGCCAGTCACCCACACGGCCAGCTCCAAGTTGCTTGTGTTCCCTGTCTACCTATGGCCAAATAAGGCATTTCCACCCAAGGATCTCCAGGACAACATCTAGGTTACAGGTCAATAAACAAGTGAGAATATCAGCTTGTACCAAACCTTTGATTCATCAAAGGAGATGCTAAGTCTTGTGACTATCCTATGAAGCAACCACCATTGTCCCTATTTATAAATGAAGCCAGTGAGCATCAGAGATGTAGTCAATCCACCTAAGGAAGTAGAATGGATGGATCTAAGAAATGGATGATGTGTTATGCTTATTTAGATCTTTTTATTTTATTGTATTATGTATATGTGTTACCTGCATGCATATCTGTTTATCACATACATGCCTGGTGCCCTTGAAGACCAGAAGAGGAGGGCATCAGATACCTTGAAACTGGAGTTACAGATGATTGTGAGCCACCATGTGGGTTCTGAGAATCAAAACAGGGTCCTCTGGAAGAATAGTCAGTGCTCCTAACATCTGAGCCATCTCTCCAGCCCTAAGATCTGTTATCTTTAGGCCGGGTGCAGTGATTAGTGTTACTCGTCAACCTGACGTGGTCTGAAATCACTCAAGAAGGGAGTCTCAATGAAGGATTGTCTAGACCAGCTTGGTCTATAGTCATGGCCATGGAGGAGTGTCTTGATTCTGTTAATTGAACTGGGAAGACCCATACACTTCGGCACCATTCCCTAAGCAAGGGATCCTGAACTAAGAGTGGAGAGAGGCAGCCAAGCAGTAGCATACATGCATTAATTCGTTGCTTCCTGCTCTTGAATGTAATGTGAATAGCTGTCTCCCTTAAATTGCTTATGTCCTGGTATTTTTATCACAGCAACAGGAAATGAAACTAAGATGCAGACTCTGCACTAAAGGAGTAAATACAAATTATCTGCTTTAAACAAAACAGTGAAATGAAGGAAACAATGTAGGAAAAAATAATGAGCTTGTTACTAATGTGGGCAACCAGGGTCTTCAATACAGGAGACAATTCCTGCATCCCACCAAAGGAGTGTGCACTCCTGGCACTTCAGAGTGGAGAATGTTCTCAGGCACAAAGTACCAGGAACTTCAGTAAAGAATCATGAGGAATGACTAAGGGTTTGGAGCGGGAACTCCACTCCCTTCATGGCAATCCTTGAAAACTAGCTATTACCCATACCCTTAGATGTTTGCACTATGGAGTCTCCTCTCTCTCTCTCTCTCTCTCTCTCTCTCTGGGAAGGAGCAAAAATGCTCATTCACATAAATAAAATAAAATAAATCTTTAAAAAACTCTTTAAAAAGTGGAAAGAGGACTGGAAATATAGCTCAGTGGTGGAGCTCTTGTCTAGGACACACAAGGTCCTAGGTTTAATTCCGGCATTCTAATATATTAGGTGTTTAATTAATTAAAGTGGACAAATGGGCAAATAAGAGGCCTGGGAATGTTGCCTAGGTAGCCCAATGACTTCAGATCAATTTCCAGCACTGCATAAAATGAGGTGTAGTGGTTTAGACCTGCAATTCCAACACTGGAGAGGTGATAGCAAGTCAGTCAGAAACTGAAGAGGGTACTCAGAGCACAGCAAGTTCGAGGCTAGACTACACAAGCTCTGTCTCAAGACATCAAATAGAAATAAAGCTGAAGGTGTGTATCGACGGTAAAGACCCTGCCTTGCATGTTCCAGGCCTTGAATTAAATTCCCAGAAAGGAGGCATCAAGAACAAAGAATCCAAGTAATCTGAATAAAAATCTATCCAAAGAAGATATAGGGGGCGCTGGAGAGAAAGCTCAGTGCTTAAGAGCACTGGCTGGTCTTCCAGAGGTCCCAAGTTCAGTTCCCAGCAACCACAGGATGGCTCACAACCATCTGT